GTACTTTGCTTTTTAGAACTCCAGGAAACTGGATTAGAGCCAAGAAAGACAATATAAGTACCAGTGGAGGTTCGGTCAGTGATGTTGCAACCCCAATCAGCATCAGAGAACGCGTGAAGAGAGAACGGAGAATTTCGCTGAAGGAGGAGACCGTGATCAAGAGTCCCATGTAAATACTACAATAAATGTTTAAGGGCAAACCAATGTACTGATGTAGGAGAGTGCATGAATTGGGAAAGTTTTTTGACAACAAAGGCCACATCTGGACGTGTCAACGCCAAGTATTGTAAGGCACTAAGCACCGAACAATAATCAGATGGATTGGCCATCGGTTCACCTTCATGCAGAGCAGGGACGTGGGAGGTTGGCATGGGGCTAACAGCTGGTTTGGATGAAGACATACCTGTTCAGTCTAGAAGGTCAAGAATATACTTGCCCTGGGAGAGAAAGAGACCATGTGAGCTAGAAATGACTTCCATGCCAAGAAAGTAAGAAAGATCACCCAGGTCTTTAATAGAAAATTGGTCAGCAAGTTTCTGGACAAAAGCTGTCATAGCAGATGAGGAATTACCAGTCAGTATAATGTCATCGACGTATACCAGGAGAAAAAGTACCATAGACCGCTGGCGGAGAAAAAACAGGGACGCATCAGCTTTGGAATTTTGGAATCCAATGCTGACAAGGAACTGCTTGAGTTCAGAGTACCAGGCACGGAGAGCTTGTTTAAGGCCATAAAGGAACCTCTGTAGATGACAAACATAATCCGGAAATTGTTGATTAACAAACCCCGGTGGTTGTTGCATATAGACATTCTCAGACAATGATCCATGTAAAAAGGCATTATTAACATCTAACTGTTTGAGACGCAAGCCCCGCATAACAGAGAGCGAAAGGATCAGACGTATAGTAGCAGGTTTGACAACCGGACTGAAAGTATCACAATAGTCCAGCCCGGGGCTTTGAAGAAAACCTTTGGCGACGAGACGCGCCTTATATTTATCAAGAGACCCATCTACTTTCCGTTTAATGCAAAAGAGCCATTTGCAACCAATAACATTTTAGGAGGAGTCACGAGGTACAAGAGTCCACGTGCCATTTTTTATAAGGGCGTTATACTCATCACACATAGCAAAACGCCAGTTTTGATCCTTCATGGCCTGGGTGGCAGTGGTTGGTTCCCGAGGGAGTTGGCAGGGTGTAGCGGAGGCATGGTGAGCAGTTTTACTTCGAGTAAGCATTGGATGGATGGATTGAGAACGTAGAGGAAGGGGTGGTGTGGCCGACGGAGTGGAAGACGAAGGTGGCAAACTGGAAACATTGGTGGCTGGAGAGATAGATAGATGACGGAGGTTGTTGGATTGCTCAGGAGAGGAGTGGAGGAGTTGGGCAATGCTTCGAGCGGGCCACATATGTACGGGGGTGTTGGGTGATGGAGTGAGATGAGTAGACGAGGGAGATGGTGTTGGAGAGGAAGGGCTGGAGACGGAGGTGGTAGGATGTGAGACGTTGGGAGCAGTGGGAGAGGGGTGTAGCGTGGAGTCAGATAGGAAAGGAGGTGCGGATGGTGAGGAAGAAGGAGTGGTAGGGTGGGTTGGGAGTTTGGGGCTAGAAGCGGGAGAAGACGAAGGAGAAGGAGCAGAGATGAAGTCCAGACCAGCAGGAGCAGTTACCGAGGGCGGAGTACACACATCATGACTGATGCCATCTGAAATAGTGACCAAAGGCAAAGATGAAAAGAATGGGGAACCGACTGCGGTGGTTGAAGAGGGAGAGGGTGAAGCACTGAAGGGGAAAACACGTTCGACAAATTTTACGTGACGACTCGTATACACACGACTAGTAGGAATATCGAGGCAGTAGTAGGCACTCTGGGAGAGACTATAACCAAGAAAAACACAAGGCTTGGAGCGGGATTCAAGTTTATGTGAGGTATACGGGCGTAGCCAAGGGTAACAAAGGCACCCAAACACCCGTAGTTTGGAAAAATTTGGGGGAGAGCGGTAGAGTTTGTCATAAGAGGTGAAGTAGTTAAGGTTGAGTTTAGGGAGGCGGTTAATTAGATATGTGGCTGTGGTAAATGCATAAGGCCAAAGATGCTGGGGAATTGAGGCGTGGTGGAGGAGTGCCAAACCAGTTTCGACAATAAGGCGATTAGGGATGGTTACGGGGCGGGGCAGGGGCGGGGATGCCCTCCCCGTCCCCCGCCCCGTTAAGAAATTCATTCCCCGTCCCCGCCCCGTTCCCCGTTTAAGGCGGGGCGGGGCGGGGCGGGGGTAGGTTTATTCCCCGTTTAAATTTTTTTTTT